TCATTTTCAGCACATAGGGTCGTGGGGTGGCCCCCACTTATGTGGGAGGTCATCCCATTATATCCCGGTGTGTATAATTGGCCCCGAAAGTTGTATTTTTCGGACTATTTTAGTCATATTTTATTTTATCGGGCCGGATAAAATATATCACGCGTTCCCAACAATTTGGGCCTTTAGAATAGATGTACATTCCCCAACATTAATTTAGGAGTCTCCGAAACTCATTTCGGGTTGTTATCCGCTAAATCACCAATACCGGTAATTGGGCCCCGTTTGACCAACCGGTCAACTCCATGCCTTTCTTATGGCCCAAATAAAATATCCACCTCCATATAGATGTCATCCAGACCAAGATGAATGTAATATGTGGTTCGGGAATTATCGGGCGGCCCCCGGTCCCGGCGTGGGCCCCACATGCAATTTACTATTCACGTAAAAGAAATAATAAAAATTTACAATTACGCAAATTCATAAATCATCTTTCAAGGTTTATTTTATAATTTACTAAAAGTAAATATGCTTGGGGACGGTGCTACACTAAAAGTATGATTTTCCCTCCCTCATTTTTATAAAATAGGATTTAATGTTTTAAATCTCGTATTTAAGACACTTTATTTGTAAGACACTTTATTTGAGATTGAACAAAAATACTTTCATAGGGTTGGTGCCCCCGGATCACCGCTTCGCTGGTCATCGGCTGCCAAATCCCCCCCCCCCCCTCCCCTCCCCCAAATGTTGTTGCTGATCTTCCAGAATTCTGCCGACCCCGCCGAACTGTCATACCAACGGAGTAACCTTGGAATGCAAGGGAATTCGAGGGACAATTAATTATATGAATTAATTAATTAAATTAGCTAGAAGTAGAAATGTAATGAGTAATCCTATTTAGAGAATATAAAATATACGGGTTTTTATGGAAAATTTTTACTACCTCCGTCCCTCAAATAAAGTCTCGGTTTTACTTTTGAGTCAAACTGATTAAACTTTGACTATTAATTACTCAAAATTAACAATATTTGATGGTTTTTTTTTCAAAAATATTACTAAACTAAAACTCATTTACACAAATATGATTAATATTTACTACAATGTAGTCTCATAGTAACTTAAGTTTAAATATTGAACATCAGTTACTATGATTTTACTACTTTAGTCACTAATTACATATTTGAAAACAATAATCTTAATTTTATTCATATATGTGTAATTATTTCATATTTTATCACACAAAATTAATTTGATGTGATTCATTGTAATATGTATTATTCAAATACTAATTTATTATCAATTATTTAGGTATATTGATTTATAGATAATTACGGTCAAATATTTGCATAGGAGACCATGAAATCAAACTACGACTTAAATTGTATGACTCAGGTAGTATGTTTTAGTCCTACAATGAGGAATTTCCTTTATTAGATGTACGAACTGGATGAACAACGATTATTAAATTGGCTAGTCCAGTTTCTGGACTATCATGTTGACACATCCCAACCATTCTTAATTAAATAAGGATCTCCTCAGTAAATAGTTAATGGCTCATCCGGATTGAAATTAGCTAGATGCCATGATCTAATATCGGGTTTAATACATCAAAAATCCTTGTGATATATAAATTCAGCACATTGGTTCTTTGTAATTTAAAAAATATGTCAAGCCCCTTGTGTTATAATGATTCTCACGCAAAACACCATCCAAGAACAAATTTAACAATTCGGAAATCTTCTGTCTTAATATTATGATTGAATATGCAAGCGAATTTGTCAAGACCTCTACATTACGTTAAAATACTATTCATGTTTCATTTACTTGGCATTAAATTTGTTCTTGCAAGGGGTTTTGCGTATGAATAATTATATAAAACACAGGGGATTTGACGCATTTTTTAAATCACAGAGAACTACTACGCCGAATTTATATATCACATGGGGTTAAACTCATCTAATCTCATCCCATTATTTTTTCATCTGGTTAGTCTAAATGAGCAATGAAACATTGAAGTTATTGAAGTCCCACAAGCAATGATAAATATAAAGTAATAAAGTGATATATAAAAATTTTGAGTCTTAATATGGTATTATAGTCAAACCAATATGTAGTCAATGTATGGATCCGCATTCCCCATTCCCCATTGTAAAATGGGAACGTACTAAACAGTTGGGAATGAAATTGCTTTTCGTGTTATTTGCTTGCCCTCTTCGTATAAAGCAATGGTCAAATATATACACCTTAATATATATCAAAAAGGTAAGGATCTCATGAATTAATCATGGTCCACTAACGCACACACTAATCTAGGAAAGAAAATAAATACAATAATTACAAATTCAAATAAGGTAAAAATATTATGCATGTGTCCGTTATGCATGGAGTCTTTCCATTTGGGGATGAGGACCGCACACACCCCCTTAAGTTGGAGCGGAGGGATTAAGAACGCCCAACTTGTGAAGTAGAAACAAGAATTGTTGAGCACCCAGAGGTTTAGTGAAGATGTCGGCTAACTGATGAGTGGAAGATAGATGATGTGCCCGGAGTGAACCGTTTTGAAGGAGATCACGAATAAAATGGCAGTCAATTTCAATATATTTCGTGCGTTCATGAAATACCGGATTTGAGGCAATATGAAGAGCAGCTTTGTTGTCACAGAAAATGTCCATTGACCAAGAGAGAGTAATGCCAAGAGAAGACAATAAGCTACGAAGCCATAATAATTCACAACCCAAGGTGGCCATGGAACGCTACTCAGCCTCGGCGGAGGAACGAGAGACGGATAGCTGCTTCTTTGTTTTCCAGGAGATAGGAGAATCACCAAGCATCACAATATAACCGGTTAATGACCGACGAGTCAAGGGGAACGCGGCCCAATCGGAGTCACAAAGTCCGCGCAAATAGATGCTAGAGCGAGCGCTAAGAAGAATACCATGTCCCGGATTACCTTTCAAGTACCGAAGTACCCGGATAGCCGCATCCCAGTGATCAATCCTCGGTGTTTGCATAAAGTGGGCCAGAATGTGAACTGAGTAACTAAGCTCTGAACGAGTAAGTGTCAAGTAGATAAGTTTCCCGATTAAACGACGATATTGCTCTGGCAAAGATAAAAGTGGTGCACTTTGAGAGAGTGAGAGCTTCTGATTTTGTTTCATAGGAAAAGGAGAGGGTCGTGAATCCGCCAATCCAAGTTCATCGAGAATATCCAGGGCATATTTGCGCTGACAAAGAAAGATACCGGAAGCATTTCGAGCCACTTCTATCCCCAAAAAATATTTAAGACGCCCAAGGTCCTTGATCGGAAATCATTTAGCTAAATAAGCCTTTAGATGATCAATATCTAGTGCATGGGAACCAGCAATAAGAAGGTCATCAACATAAACGAGCACACACAAAAATGACCATTTTTAGATAACGTGAATAAAGAATAATCTGCATATGAACGCTGAAATCCATAGGTAATCAAGGAAGTGCTAAGTTTATGAAACCAACAACGGGGAGCTTGACGAAGTCCATAGGGAGAACGATGGAGGTGGCAAACTTGGTTAGGACGAGAGCTCAAAAATCCAGGAGGCAAATACATATAAACCTCATCATCAAGAGAACCATGAAGAAAAGCATTGTCAACATCCATTTGATGGAGTTGCCAATGTTTAGATGCGGCAATGGCAAGAAGAGTACGAACAGTGGTCATTTTGGCAACGGGAGCAAATGTCTCATGGTAATCGATTCCCTTAATTTGCCGATTGCCACAAATGACGAGCCACGCTTTGAACCGTTCAACATATCCGGAGCTATTATATTTGATGCGGTAAACCCACTTACAATGAATGGTCCGTTTGGGAGTGGGAGTATCAACCAGCGTCCACGTACCATGTCATTCAAGAGCATCAATTTCAAGTTGCATTGCTTGGCGCCATCGTGGGTCCCGCACCGCTTCTTTATAAGAAGATGGTTCCTTTTCATGAGAAATACCTGCAAGGAAAGCCCGGTGGTGCAAAGAAAATTTGTCATAATTTACATAACAAGTAAGTGGATAGGGACTACCTGAAGATGGCGAAGGAAGGGAGACGCCGGGGGTGAGCCTAGGCTGCATGAAGTTGTACGTAGTCACGTAGGCGGACAGAAGGAGCCTTACGTCGATGCCCACGACCAAGAGGAGCTGGTGACGTGGGACCTTCTGGCAAGTGGATTTCGGATGTCATATGTGGCAGTGAATTTTCGCTAGGTGTGTCCGACTTTTCTGGAGGAGAGGATGGTTGAACATTTGAGGAAGCATGTGGGACCTCCTCTTGATGGTGAGCAGGGACAGATCGCACACATGAGTTATGCATGGCAGCAATCATTATGGAGTTCATCCTCCCTATATATTAGCCGCAAATCAAAAAGAGATAGCGAAGGATGCACATCACGGGCTGAAGTTGACTTGGCCAGAAAAGGAAAAATATCCTCCACAAAGTGAACATCTCGGGAAATAAAATGAGCCTCGGTTTCTAGGTCCGTTACTTTCCACCCACGTTGCATGTAAGAATAACCCAAAAATAGGCACGCACGACCACGATGATGAAATTTATCTCTCGATCGGGAAGCAACATAACACAAACAACCAAACGTACGAATGTGATCATACGAAGGTTGAGTGCCATACAACATTTCATAGGGCGATTTTTCATGATTCAAAATAGACGGAGTGCGATTAATTAAATAAGATGCCGCCAGAACACATTCACCCCAAAATTTGATTGGTAAATTGGCTTGAAAACGAAGGGCTCGGGCAACATTGAGAATATGCTGATGCTTTCGTTCAACCTGACCATTTTGTTGGGGTGTACCAACACACAAAGTTTGAAATAAAATGCCCGCATCTTGAAAATAAGGTCGTAACGGAAAGAATTTTGTACCGTTATCGGCCCTCACAATTTTAACTGTTGTATTAAACTGAGTCCGAACCATAGAGAAACATCGCATAATAATATGTGCAACTTCACTTTTCTCAGACATTAAATGCACCCAAACCGCCCGAGAATAATCATCAACAATGGTCAGAAAATAATGTGATCCACACGTACTAGATTCACGATAGGGTCCCCAAACATCACAGTGAATCAACTCAAATTTATTTAAAGCACAGTTTGAACTAACAAGGAAAGAGAATCTTGTTTGTTTGGCTTTCATGCAAACATCACAAGTCTTATTCTTATAATTAAAAGAACTAGAATTCTTGAACGGAATTGGAAGCAAACGAACCACTCTGAGGGACGGATGACCCAATCGTTGATGCCACAAATTAATTCCATCCAAGCTTCCCACATGTGAAACACGTGCACTCCCAGTTCCACATAAATAATAGACCCCACCCCGACGTTCACCCATTCCAATCTGCATCTACAAAGTGTGGTCCTGTATCACACAAAACCTGTCAGTAAATAGCACATGACATGACAATTGTTCAATAAGATTTCCTACCGAGATAAGATTACACATAAGTTTAGGTACGTAGATGACGTCTTTTAATTTCAATTCCGGTCCCAAAAACACACTACCTATATGTGTGGCCTCGGTTTTCTCCCCATTTGGTAGAGCAACTGGAGAGGAAGAAATTTTCTGTAAATTAAATAATAGCGAATAATCCCCAATCATATGATAGGAGGCTCCCGTATCATGAAGCCAAGAGTCCATATTTTTTTGTACCTGATAGTTTTTCAACTGAGTCACCTATCTTTTTGGAATTGTTCATAAATGAAAAGAATGATGCCCATTGTTCTGCCAGGGAAGTAAAATCCGGTTTGTCATTTTTGTTTTCTTCTGCCGACACTTCTTCATGCAAAACACCATGCACACGTGCTTCCTTTACACCACCATTTTTGTCACGCCCAGTCACATGTCCAGGAGGCTTTCCACGTCCCTTTCCTTCTTTGTTAGCGAACCACCATTCGGGATACTCACCGGTTAGCTTAAAACAATTATTTCTTTCATGTCCGTCCTTTTTAGAAAAGGAACAAAACATCTTTTCTTTGTTGGGCTTCCTCCGGTCATCAAACCGAACGGCGAAGGCGGCAACCTCGGTTTTGGCATCATGCATCCTCGTCACATTCTTGTGCCGCTCTTCTTGTATCATCATATGATACACTCGGCTGAGGGATGTCAATTTGGATTCGCTGAGAATGTTAGACCTAAGTCCGCCAAACGTAGCACCGTTCAAACCCATCAAGAATTCATGCACCTTTTCTTTCTCCACTGCCGCCATAAATTGTTTCTCCAAATCACATTTGCATCCTCCACACTTACACTTGGGTATCGTACGATACCCATCAAAGTCATCCCAAAGCATTCTCAGGCGGCCAAAATATTCCGTCACCGTTTGGTCTCCTTGTCGGCATGATTGAATGGCTTCTTTCAGTTTGTGAAAACGTACCCCATCAGCCACCTCGAAGCGGAGTTTGACATCCTCCCATAGATCTTGAGCAGAGTCCATGTAAGCAATGGTCGTTCGTAGAGATGAATCGATGGACGTCATCAACCATCCAACCAACATGGAGTTCACACACGGCCAGTCATCCGACCCGTGTTCATCATCTGGTATCTCAATCGTCCCGTCAAGAAAAGGAAGCTTCCTTTTCGCTGTGAAGGCATTGCGCATGGCGGTTGACCATTCCTGGTAATTCACGTCCCCTTTGAGCGTTATGCCGCAGATATTCACGCCTGGGATGTCATTGGTCGGTAAATAAAACGAGGATGCCAGATCATTTATTCTGCGCCTATACTGCTTAGGAACAGAATTGTTGTTGTCGTTCTTAGTTCCGTCGTCGGTTGTCTTGGTGATAGGCTCACCCATTTGTTTCGTCGCACAGAAAAAAAAAGAAAAAAAAACGCAGGTCTCAGAGAACGTTTGGCTCTGATGCCATGTAAAATGGAAACGTACTAAACAGTTGGGAATGAAATTGTTTTTCGTGTTATTTGCTTGCCCTCTTCATACAAAGCAATGGTCAAATATAGGTAGTATACACCTTAATATATAAAAAAGGTAAGGATCTCATGAATTAATCATGGTCCACTAACGCACACACTAATCTAGGAAAGAAAATAAATACAATAATTACAAAATCAAATAAGGTAAAAATATTATGCATGTGTCCATTAGGCATGGCTTCTTTCCATTTGGGGATTAGGACCGCACACCCATGAAATTAAAATTCTGAGCTAGTTGACATTTTATGATGAAAACACATATTTTAATAGAAACATTGAATTATGGAGTAAAACATACCAAACGAAGCTTGGTATTTGTCAGTCTTCGTTAGAAAGGAACTACGAAAACGCAGGTGTGTAAATAAAGGTGGTAGCTAGCTAGATTGATAGAAAAAGATATTGAAGTTAAGGGATGAAGAAAGCAATGAGGAGTGCACAGGAAAAAGTGTAAATCAAGTAATTTAAACTTGGAAGTTACATTTAAAATTTTGGCTCGGTCGGCATGTTGCATGCAATGCCTAGTTGGATGAGATTTAATTTGATCAGGTCTACTCTGGTCTAATGTGGTTTGGTCTATCTAAGTTTGGTCTGATTTTATCTAGTGTGAGACTGAAAATAATCCAAAAGAAAACATCCTTAGTCTACTAGATACGACAATAAACTCACATGCTTAATTATTCTGTTCAACATTGGCCTCAAGACAACATGAATGCCTATCACATAATCTCGTGGATGTTTTCATTTGAACTGAAATTTCGTGTATAGTCTGGTCTGATATAAACTAGTCTAGTAAATGTTTGGTTTCTGTGTATTTTATAACTATTCAAATCTAGTATGGTCAGGTCCGAGCTGATCTGGTCTGGTCTGGGATTGAAAACAATCCCAATAAAAACATCCTTAGCTTCTATTTCATTCTAATTAATTTATTTTTTATTATTTTCAACTTTATACACAAAAGGCAAAAAATGATATTTTTAAAAGGAAAAATTGACAAGAATAATCTCACCTTTCACCGGTCTTCTCATAATAATCTCACCTTTATGTAATCCCAGAATAATCTCACCTTTCCAATCCATCTTCTTTCGTTGGACCCTGACCTGTTGATGACCTACTATACCAGGTTTTTTACCCTTTTCTTAAAAACCTTATATAAATAATCTCACATTTCATAAATCTGCTCAAAACGGTCCCATGTTTCATTTTTTCTTTTTTTCTCCTTAAAATTTTTATTTCTTTATTTTCATCTCTAGACACTTTTTATTGCTTTTTCTATCCTTTTGTTCTTATTTCTTTTTCATTTTATTATTCTATTTCTTACTCTAATGTGTGATTTCTTTTTTGTAAAATTTGTCTTCAAAATAACTCTTTTTTGTCGTTTTTTTTTTCTTTCCGTATTTCATTTCATTTCCCTTTTTATGTTTTTCTTCTTAATCATTCTCTTCTTATTAAAGATCTTTTTCTCACTTTAATTTTTGTTATGTTTTCTTTTTATTTTCACTTTTCCACTTTTATATTTTCACTTTTAAAATAAGATCTTTAAAGAAATAATGGCATAACTATCACTTCTTGAGTTATTAAAGACCAAAATATGATTAGAATCCCGTTTGGACAAAATAGTTACTGAAAGTGTATAGACCGACTGTAATACCCCTGCAGCCTAAGTCATTTCATTCAGCCGCACAGCCAATCCTAATTCTGTCCTCAGCACCGTCGTTCTTCTTCCATTAGCCGTGCAGCCATCCGCACGCCATCACCATCTTCACCCCGCCGCTGTCATCTTCACGTCGTCGGCTCCTCGTTGTACGAACATCACAGGTATGTTGCTCTTTTGTTTTCTTATCTCTTCTTCTTCGACGAATCCCAAAACCTGCGATGGCGGCAACCTATTGATGACGGTGGTCTGAAGATGGTGGAGATTTGGCGATGCCGAGCGAGGATTACATCATTTATTACGAAGGCAAGTGGCGAGGCGCGATTACGAATTGATATCGTCCATTTTCGGAAACAATAGGCATCATTCGGGCTCGGGTTCGGATATGGTTGTCAGAAGCGATTGGAGACCGATTTCGTCTCGTCGCTATGGCGCCGCTATCGTAGGGGTGGCGCAGAGGTGTGCGAAGGCTGCGATAGGGTGTGGCGTGGGTACGCGGTGGTTGAGGAGCTGGATCTTCCAGGGAGGGATGCGGTGAGGGGGTGGGGCAATGGTTGTGTAAGGATGGGGCTGGGGAGTTCGAAGAGAGGGTTGGACAAGGGCGGTGGAGGACGGCGGCGGTGGCCGGGGACAGCAGGGGGCTGCCAGTGGAATGGGGTTGGGGTTGGTGTTGGACTGGGGCTTGCGGTTGTGAACGGTCAGACAATGGTGGTTCCCGGTGGTGGCCGTGGCTCATTGCAGAGGTGTCACTGTTGCGGACAATGGCCAGGGAAGCAGGGGCTGGCGGTGGAAACCGGGGCTGGGGGCTTGGGTAGGCTGGAAAGGGGGTCGAGGTTTGTCTTGAAAAGGAGTTGGCGGTGGTGGCCAGCGGTGGTGGACGGTGGTGGTTTCAGTGGTAAATCTAGATTAATGTTGCAGAAGTAACTATGATTGGAGTCGCTATAGAAGTGTCACTTAGGATGTGTCACTGCGAGCGTGTCACTGTGGTGGTGGTAGCGGCGGTGGACAATGATCGATGGTGGTGGCCGCTAGTCACTATAACGGGTGTCACTTTAGTGAGTGTCACTGTGGCTGGTATTGTAACTATAAAATAAAGTCACTATGAATTAAGGGTAATTTAATAACTTTAAAACTTATTAGTCATATTTTTGGAAATTAAACAATAAGGTCATTTTTTTGTCATTTATCCACTTTTTAGTAATATTGAGGTCAAAACTCATCTTTAATAAGAAGAGAATGATTAAGAAGAAAAACATAAACAGGGAAATGAAATAAAAATACGGAAAGAAAAAGAAAACAATAAAAAAGAGCTATTTAGAAGAGAAATTTTACAAAAAAAAAATCTCCTAATAAAGTGAGAAGTAGAATAATAAAAATGGAAAAGAGATAAAAACAAAATGAAAGAAAAAGTAATAAAAAAATGTCAAGGGATGAAAATAAAGAGAAAAATTTTAGGGAGAAAAAAGAAAAAATGAAACATGGGACCGTTTTTAGGAGATTTGTGAAAGGTGCGATTATTTATATAAGGTTTTCAAAGAGAGAGTAAAAACCCTGGTATAGTAGGTCATCAACAGGTCAGAGTACAACATAAGAAGATGGGATGCAAAGGTGGGATTATTCTGGAATTACGTAAAGGTGAGATTATTATGAGAAAACTAGTGAAATGTGGGATTATTCTTGTCAATTTATCCTTTTTAAAATACATCGCGGAGTATGTAAAACCAGACCATTTGAATGAGACATCATCACTTATCATTAAACTTCTTAACAAAAACTATTCAAAAAATTACGTTATTACAAGAACGAATGACAAAATATTTCTTGAAGGGTTTCAAATGACAAAACTGAGATAATATATAGGATAAAGCATATGGATTTGGGCCCGGACAGCGACCCACGTACGCTGATCAGATAGCATTTACATTATTGTACATTCTATTTGTTCATGTATAGCCATTAGAATAGATTAAATACCATTTATTAGCCATTTATTGGCCTTTTATTGTAAGTGAGCCTGCCATGCCCAAGCCTGGAAGCCCAGCCCGCTTCTCTCCTAGGGGAGCCATGTAAGGGGTTAGAAAATCATTTATACATATCAATTTATCCCTCTAGCTCTCCTTTCCCTCTAAATTAATAATCTATCAATATATAACCCCGTTTGGACAAAAAATATACACGTTTAGATCTGAAATGGCAAAATTACCTTTCATATAAATAGTAAAAAGATAGTCTAGAGAAAATTCTCTAAATAGGGCTAAAACATGTATAAGATTCATAAATAGGACTACGGATGTTTTTATTTGGACTGTAATTCGTCCCAAACCAGACCAGACCAGACCAGACCAGATCAGACCAGACCAGACCAGTTCAGACCAAACCAGACTTGGATAGTTATAAAAATACAAAGAAACCAGACCAGACCAGACCAGTACAGACCAAACCAGACCAGACCAGACCAGACCAGACCAGCAAATTACAGTCCAAGTAAAAACATCCTACCAACGTTTTATTCCCAAAGTAGAACTCATTCACTTCTACTTTGAAAAGTTCTCATCAAATTATTCTTTTAATAAGACTAAATAAGTCCTACTTGGGGAATAAAAGATACATAATCATATTTTTGAACTTTATGTATATTTTGGTCCTATATATATTGAACAGTTTTTATAGTCCAAATGCCTAATTCAACCCTAAATAACTATATCCGCCTCTCTAGTATGTATTAACTTCTCTCTTGTCGTCTTCTATATATTGTGCCTCTCTCCACTAGAGTCATCTCTACATTCGTCGTTCCGAGCCGTTACCACCCGAGCTGTCGTCACCCCAAGCAGTCACCATCGTCACTAACCTCAGCCATCACCACTGTCACAATCCCTTCGTCGTCGATGTCACCTAGGTAAGCTTCCTTCGACTATTCTTATCTGCTGCCTGAACAATCGAGGATCGAGGACGAAGAAGGCGGTGGCGGTTCAGATCTATGACAACATCGTAGCTAGGGTTTCTAGGCGATGTCATGCGACGCTCTAGCGGTGAGAAGCAACACGGGCGGGTGTGGTTGGGGCTATTAGGGCAACAACGAGTCTATTGTGACATGGGAGGGGCTTGTATGTGGGCTGATGTGGAAGGGGCAAGGATTGGGTGGACCTGAGGATAGGCGTGGACGGGTGGGACAGGGAACAAGGCTGATAGGGAACTAGGGGTGGCTGGGCGGTGACGTGGGAGGGGAAAACAATGATAAGGGGCGGCGGCGCGTAGACGACACGTTCAATGGGAGTAATTAGCTGGGAAGGGGGTGGTGACCACAGGACGAACATATGCAGAGCACTGTTGCCAGAGTCACTATGTCACTGTGGCCGGAGTCCCGGTGTCCCTGTGTCCTTGTGTTACCCCGATCAACTTTAATAGTTATGAACATGACCATTCAAAATCGGCAAGAAACCCGGCTCAATTACTTGATCTGACGCTTATTAATCCCTTATGATGAAGCTATAGATAATTGGCAATCAAATTAGTTACAACCAAAATGTGCAAAGAAATAGATCCGAGATGGCGAGATATCACATGTTTGATTGATGGGAAGAAGACTACCCGTTAGAGGGAATAGTTTTTTCTTCAATTCCAAGATGACATTTAGTATCAAACTTATGGACAATTCTTACAATTGATCATTCTTGTCATTCACTCATTCCTTTATGGGTTGGCATACGGAAGTACTACTATTTAAATTGGAAGCCTATTTCTCTAAATGCTCGATGCTTTTACCATTGGCTTGATTTTTACATTGTTAGTTTTTTTTTTGAAAATAATAGAAGATTCTTTGATATATTCACGACTTTATTTCAATCTTGTTGATAATTCCTCAGAAAATTCCAGTCTTGAAAGTCATCAATGATCGAGTGGAACCATTATGAAAATGAACAAATCATTTCCAAAAGCAAGATGTGTTGAGTGAGCTCCTCTAGTCTAGAAATGTTAAAAGCCGGCACCTATTATAATAAATCCTAGTCTGCCCATTTTGCACATACTTTTTTGGGCTGCGGCAAAGGTTTCGGACCGATGAGTAATCGTGTTGAAGTGGGCCGCAGCGCATGTTTCTCGATATCGGGTAGGCGTGTAATCCGGTTGGGCTCCGAAAGTCGCTCCGGATGCATTCATTATACTGCAAATGTTCTCAATAATAATACTCCAATAAGGATTATTATTATTATTATTAAATGTAAAAAAATATCACGCACTTCTGCGTGTACTAAATGGTCGTCATAAATTCCAAGGACATAAAAGGCCAAGACCGGAGGGTGGCCTCGCCGGACGGTAACAACAAGAGAAGCAGAACGACGATGACAGAAAGCGGTGGAGTGTCATCAACGGAGACGGAGCAGGAGCACCCCCGCAACCTTACCGCCAATTCTACCTCCAGCAACAAAGACAACAATCCTAATTCAACCCCCCATGCTCCGCCGCCGACCGACCGCCCCGTTCGCGTCTACGCCGACGGAATCTACGATCTGTTCCATTTCGGTCATGCCCGCTCCCTAGAGCAAGCCAAGAAATCGTAAGTTTGTTTTTCCTTTCCACTTCTATTTTCCTGATTTTATGCAATTTTCCTCGCTGTCTGTCTCTGGGTGGCCGCGACGCTTTTCTTCTGCAAAAATACCAACTTTTCCTGTTTTTTTTTTAATCCCCTTTTGTAATTCTTAGAAACTTCATCCATCGGATGTTAGGGTACAATATGGTAGTCGTATGTATTTCCGTTTTTTATGCTTGTAGGTTCCCAAACACGTACTTGCTGGTGGGGTGTTGCGATGATGATACCACGCACAAGTTCAAGGGAAAAACTGTCATGACAGCAGAGGAGCGTTATGAGTCTCTCCGCCATTGCAAGTACGTTCTTTGCATTTTCAGACACAACTTATGTGCCTTCTTGTGGAATTAGTTGAGCATTGTCTGTTAGAGTAGATTCATTCTAAAAGCCGCATTTTCTAGCCCTCGAAGAATGAATTATACTATAATGAATTTGTATCAGTTATTTACTATGATGAACTGCGTTCTAAGAAAAGAGGAACTAGAAGCTAGATGGGTAGCAGATAGGCCTTGCCGTCTCGGGCCTAGGTGATGAATTGCAGGTAAGGTTCCGCTGTTTAAAGTTAAAAAGACTTTCATGGGTTAATAAGACCAGGGAGGCTGGGACTAAAAGGGACCAAAGTTAAGTAACCCTAACTATGGTGTATGCAATTTGTCTCCAACTTAGTCCTATGTCATATTGTGCTCTAGTTAAGAGGGATATTTTCGACCATTGATGACTAAATTGGGATTAAATTTCATATGTCATTGCAAAGTAGAGTCCTATATTGAGTCTAAGTTTATTCAACAAATTAAATGAGTGAATTACACATAAGGGTTGCATTGCTCCCAATTGAATGGTCATGGACTAAAATAAAACCATTAAATAATGAAGGAATCAAATTCAAAGGACTAAATCAAGTATTAGATCCATAATAGATTAGAGGGATGGAAAGTGTGGATAACTGCATTTTCCTATACTTCACTAAAATTCGATACTCTTAGTCTCTTATCAACACAGACCAGTTGCCTGAAGAGTTTTGTAGATTTTCCATGCATCACAGACTAGTTAAATTACAAATGGTCTTTGCATATACTCCTGTCCCTTTATTATCTTCTCATTTTAATTAGCTCAAGTTTTGTTTAGAATAGAAAGATAATATCAATGACATAATACTTTCCCAAAGAGGAAAGATGAGATAATTTGGAGGACAGAGAAAAATAGAATGCAGATGAAAACAGGACAATGGAAGTACTCTTCATCCATCCCATAAAACTTGGGCAATCATGACATGCACGTGGATTGATAAAGTAAACATTGTGGTTGATCTTTGTGTAGTTGAAAGAGAAATACATCAACCACAAATTTGTTGCTTCAAAAGGAGATGTCAAAATTTTTTGTGATGGTTAAATAAGGAAAGTTTTCAAATTTAGTGGGATGGTGGAAGCATTTGTTTATGAGCAAAATCTAATACAAGTGAACTTTACTGTAAGAGCTCGTGTGGTAAGGGTGCATTTGTTTGAATTGCTTAAATTGTTGCAAATGTGATACTAATCATACTATTGATAAAGTTGCTGAAATAACTGAATGTCTAAATTATGAAAACACAGTTTAAAATATATTTTGTTCAAAAGTTCGGCAATCAAATAATGTTTAGAATGGTTTAAAAGGCCATCTTCATCCCAACATTTCATTATTAACTAATTCAGCACACTCGCATGAATAAGTTTGTGTTTTGTGAAAGAGTTGACGGATAATGGGTGATAAGTTGACAAATAGCCACTAAGTTATACTCCATCTCTCAATTAAGTTCCTAGTTTGAGTTCACAAGTTATTAGGCAAAAATTAGTTTTTAATGACCTTCCAAATATGCCATTCATCAAAAGTGATAGAGAAAGTGACCAATTAATGGTGTTCTATTGATAGAAACCTGGCAGATTCCTAACATCTATTCATAAAGGTAAAAAAAGTCTTGTGCTCTACACCTCTACTCAAATATTACAAAAAAGGTGTGAACTTATTTTCGGGACATTCCAAAAAAGTGAGAACTTAGTTTAGGGACGGAGGAAGTAATAAATCTATAGTGTACATGTTAAAATGTATCGTTATTCGTAAAATACTAAAATTGATTGAAACCTTAAAATTCAATGAGTTTATTGACTTCCCATCATATAATTAAATGACTAGGATGTGATTTCACTTTTTCGTGTAGTTAAGTAGTTATATAGAGCTGTTATGTACTTATGTGCATCTGATACTATAAAAAACTAAATATTTCTTGTTCTTCTGATGTTTACAACTTGCAGGTGGGTTGATGAAGTTATTCCTGATGCCCCGTGGGTTATAAATCAGGAATTCCTTGACAAGCACCAAATTGATTTTGTGGCTCATGATGCTCTTCCGTAAGACTTCTAAACTTACTTGTTTTTCCATTAAGGTTATTTAGGGTGGACAGGTTTGAATGGCTTTTGAGCAGCTTAGCCAATATCTTTATAAATAGTGTTTCTAAAAGCATGTAAACGTAAGGTGGTCAACTATTTATTCTATCACATAATAATATTGTAGTAGTTGAGTCAGTGATGTCAATAGCAGCGGTATAGCGGAATAGCAGGGCGGAGCAGGGGGCTAGGCGCTATGAAACTGCCTATAGTGGAGCGGTTAGCAATAGCGGCTGTAGTGGGTGCTAGAGCGCCCTGGCGGGAAGTTGGGAGCACTGTTTTACTTTTAGATGTTTTTGGAGTAAAAAATAACCTCAATACACCATCCAAAACACGTGGGGAACTAAATAACCCTACTAAAATAACTCAAAGCAGAAACCAAGATCAAACGTAACCTATACCATGCATCTCCATGTTAAGGTTGTTCAAAGCATCCCAGCAACCATGATTTTCTTATAATTAGGTATTAATGACTGCATATTTATAAAGAATTATCTGGAACTCAATGTTTAATGTTTAGAGGTAAGGTACTAAAATTATTTGTTTCTTTTGTTTAAGAGACTAATGCCTCTTTATTGGTAAATTAGTAAGTGTAGCGGTTGGCAAAAGCGGCTGTAGTGGGTGCTAGAGCGCCCTGGCGGGAAGTTGGGAGCACTTTTTTACTTTTAGATGTTTTTGGAGTAAAAAATAACCTCAATACACCATCCAAAACACGTGGGGAACTAAATAACCCTACTAAAATAACTCAAAGCAGAAACCAAGATCAAACGTAACTTATACCATGCATCTCCATGTTAAGGTTGTTCAAAGCATCCCAGCAACCATGATTTTCTTATAATTAGGTATTAATGACTGCAAATTTATAAAGAATTATCTGGAACTCAATGTTTAATGTTTAGAGGTAAGGTACTAAAATTATTTGTTTCTTTTGTTTAAGAGACTAATGCCTCTTTATTGGTAAATTAGTAAGTGTGAATTTCATGTCGTTTGAGTAATATATTCGTGATTTATCATTTCTTGAAATTGATATGTGCATGACATGTAATTGTATGCACACATAGAATATGAACTTTGCATATATATTGTCTATTAGCGGTCATCCTGCTACCTGCTATACCACTATAGCGATTTCGGGGTTGGCTGCTACGCTCCGCTATCTGGGATTGACAACACTGAGTTGAATCTTACTATTATTATAGAATCTCAAATATATATATGTGTGTGTAGCATTGTCCTGCAAGTTTCTTTGTAGTTTGATTTAACACGCTTATTAAAGTACAATTGTATTATAGTGATTGATCTAAAAAGTAGAGAAACAGTATCAACCAAATAAATCTCCCCTAAAAAGGAACTGAGAAGAATGTTTTGGGACTTCTCAAAAAGGAGTGAAATTTGTGTGACAGATAGAGCATATATCAAGATACAAACTATGCTCTCCAGAATCTCTCTTCAAGCCACCTCCGAACCCCTTGACCCAAATAGACGTATAGTTGCCTAACAGCCCTCCAAATTTTTAACAATAGTTTTGATGGTAATTGATGTTGTTCCCTCTTATTTGCTATAATATTTGCAGGTATGCCGATACCAGTGGAGCTGGAAAAGATGTCTATGAATTTGTAAGGATAGTTTTAACTTTTTACCGTTTGCTGCATATAAAGCTCCAATCTTCTTTCACCATGATAACTTCTTATTTATCTTTGCAGGTGAAAGCCGTTGGGAGATTCAAAGAAACAAAGCGTACTGATGGAATTTCAACTTCAGATATTATAATGAGGATAGTTAAAGACTACAACCAATATGTCATGCGCAATTTGGATCGTGGATATTCAAGGAAGGAACTTGGTGTTAGCTATGTAAAGGCAAGTAATTTATCAGTGTTTCAGTTATTTCATGATCATTCCTTCAATGGGATTTATATGGAATCTTTATTTTCATTTATAGGTTGTCTTGTGCAAGGATTTGAGAGTTTATTTGTTTTATGTAAACAGGAAAAACGCTTGAGAGTGAATATGAGACTTAAAAAGTTGCAGGAGAAGGTTAAGGAGCAGCAAGAGAAAGTGGGAGAAAAGGTAGAACTATAGTATATGAGTGTTGTTTATAGTAATGGGCATGTCTTAATTATTTCTATCATTTATTCAAGATTCAACAGATTCAAACTGTTGCAAAAACTGCTGGTATGCATCGCAATGAGTGGGTTGAAAATGCAGATCGGTGGGTTGCAGGCTTTCTTGAGATGTTTGAGGAGGGTTGCCATAAAATGGTAAGCAGAATTAGTTGTCATTTGGCAGCTTCATTTTTTGTTCATCAACTTTATCTTTTAGGTTTTCTACCAACCACATTTAGGATGTTTAAGTCTGGTCTGGTCGGGTAAATATGTGGTTTCTGTTTTTTTATAACTATGGAAGTTTGGTCTGGTTAGGTCTGGTAAATGTGTGGTCTCTATGTTTTTTAAAACTATGGAAGTTCGGGTTTGGTCTGGTCTGGTCTGTTTAGGTCTAGTCTAGTCTGGTCTGTTTAAGTCTAGTCTAGTCTGTGACTGAAAGCTGTTCAAGTAAAAACATCCTTAGTTGACTGCAGTGACTATATCAGTTTATACTGCAAAAAAAGCTTTGGATCAAGTGAAAACAAATGTTATTTTTACCTTTAGATATTGTTTCCTTGAATTATTTAAAAATAATATTTAAAATATAACTTATATATTTTAGTAGATAGATTTAGGTTCATGTGAGAAATAAGAATAAATATAGGTGACAACTTCGGTACCCATTTAAAAAATGGGGTACCGTACCTATGGGTAGCATAGAATCTACCATAAGTATAACCATTAGATCAACCCATTTAGAGCATCTTTAATGGGAACATGGATTGCTTAAAATTGCATTGCCACATCAGATAAATAGACATTGAAGTTAAACGGATGTGAGGGTGATTTTGTGATTTCATCCTTTTTAACTTTTTCCCACCGTGCATAGCATCCTAAAATTTCTCCCCATTTCTTGGTTACATTTAATTAACTTCCTTTACGGTTATAACTCTCCTGCCATATATTCTTTCTCTATTCCACATTAATGCTTTTTTGGGAGGTTACTTCATTAACTTCCTTTTCATTTTTATTTTTCTACATTTTCTTTTACGTTCATGACTTTAATCCCACCTGCACATATGGCTTTAAATGTATCCTCTGTTGGTACCAACTCAACGAACATTTAGTATATCCTAACTTTGTTTTTCTTATGATTTTTTAAATTAAAAATTTCATGTTTATTACAATGCCATACATACATTGATACATACTAGTGCACTATAATGTTGGGTTCGATGCACTTTTTAAAAAAACTAAAGCTCAAAGTCATGGAAAACTATACCACACATGTTGCACCCTGAATTAGTCAGGGATGCAATTATATCTTCAATTTTCAATTGCACTTTTACTTATTAAAAGTGCACACATATATACAGTGTTAATGCACTTCTCAATTGTTACTTCACACTATTGTAAATAACTCGACGTGCACCATTTTAACTTAAAAGTATATGTACAAGTCAGATATCATTTATTTTTTATTTACTAAAGACCATGAATTTCAAAGAGGTCAAATGTGAAAAAATGATTTTGGTTAGAACGACATATATTTAAATAACTCTATAAAGTGCATTTCAAATTTACTTGGGTGCATAAACTTTTATCAATAATGCATAATTAGTATTTCAATATCACCATATTCCAATTATAATAAATTGCACTTTTAATTATAATTATTGCACATAACAACAATTTCATTCATGCAGCTAAAATCCTACAACATTTATTGCACTAGAAACATTATTTCATGCACTAGAATTTGGTGCGCTTTCTTTTAACACATGCACTCTTGACACATTAATATTGCACTTTATAAAAAGTGATAAATATAAATAACAATCATATTGTAACTACATAATTGTAAATACATACGTGAATATATATATATTTAATTAAAATTGCTCCACTTAACACATTATTTAATGCACTTGATGTTATATGTTTCTCAAAAAATGCATACAAGTGTCTAATATAATAGAGGAATGCTTTTAAATTTAAAATAATGATTTACACTTTTCAAATTTATTGGATAATGCAATATCATGATTGCACCTTTCAATTTTAGCGATGGCGGAATTATAGGGATTTTGGTTTTAGGCTCTATATGTTGATGGATAATTATCAATATACAAAAAAGACCTCCGCAATAAATGTTGATTGAACAATATGTCTTCACTTTTAATGATTTCCTTATAAACACTTGATTATTAAGTCATACAAGCATTTTCTATAGCCATCCGATTGAATGAATGAAAGACTAGATTTCATTCTTATTTCTCTCCTAAACACCATTCTCACCTGAATCATGCCCTTAGTTGATGAGCCAAAATTTATTACTGTGCCAAAATGACTTCAAATTTTCACATATTTGGTTTCTATCTATAATGTCATGCAGGGAACTGCCATAAGGGATCATATTCAGGAGAGATTAAGAAGGCAGCAGCAAAGTGGTTTGTTGCCATATGGGAGTAAAGAGTATGACACGGATAATGAAGAGGATGAGTACTATTATGATGATGAGGAAGAGGATGATGATGAAGAATATTATGATGATGAAGAGTGCCATGAGATTACAGACAAAGAAACAATCTTACGTGCCTGAGTCTTTCTTGCACATGGCTGTATGCCTGTATCTGCTGGCCAGAGATTTATTTACATGCTATTGCTAGTAGAGAGTTCCTAAGTTACTGTATATGATTTCGTCTTGTGTTCAATCATGTAGTGCTTTTCAAGGATGTGTATATATACATGTGTGTGTGGCTGTTACAGTTTGCATAGCTTGTTTAATTTTTATAGTTAGTGAGAGTGAGGACTGGCCTCCCATTGCTTTGCTCTGAGTAGGGGTGGTCAAACAGTTCGTTTTGATCTAAAATCAAATGTCGAAACAAAGTAAAAGTTCAGTGCGTTTCAGTTTGGTTTTATATTTTAATTTTAACTATTGAAATCATGGTTCCGTTGATTCAGTTTATTTCGGTTCAGTATTGATTCTATGGTTATGCCAAAATATTTATGTTGATTAAAAAACATAGTTTTGTAAAACAAAGACTAAAAATAAACCTATAACATCTCTTTAAACTTGCATGGGGATGGATTCGGGCCGGGTCGGGCCCGGGCCGGGCCTAGGCCCGGTCGGGCCGCCGGTTCGTATCACATGGGCCCGGGACCGACCCGAGGGTTGGACGGGTCCGGTTCGGGCCACCCGCCGGGCCGGGCCGGGCCGGTTAATTTTTTTTTTTATTTATATTTTATACTTTATAGTTTTATACAAGTATTAAAAAACAAACTTCAAGTGCATTTATTTGAAATGAAATAGGAACTACATTTGAAAATTAAATAGGAACTATAATTGTTTTTAATCGGAATCTCCGGCATAGGTAGAGCCACTCTCTGTTGTAGATTCATCCATAAAGTGTTGGGATGGAGTGATGTCAATTTCTTGAGCTCTACGTGCTGCTTTCAACCAATCGTGGTAGCATATAAGCATCTCAAGAGATTCAGCGCTCAACCTCGTTAGTCGTTCTGGTTTGTGTTAGAACATTGCCGGCCGAACTAAATTCTTGTTCCACGGCAACCGTTGAAACCGGCATTGATAGCACTTGCTTAGCCATCTTTGCTAAAACCGGGAACATTCTTTCTTTTCCCTTCCACCAGTTTAGTACGTCAAAATCATCATCTTCTTCAAAATCAACATCATAAGTTAAATACAAAGAAATCTCATTAATTGTGCTTTGTTGTGTAGCGGGAGTTGATTTTGTTTTTTTAATAAGATTGGCAAACGTAGATTTGAAAATTGATTTTCCTTTAGATGATGTTTGTGTCGGGGGAGGGGGCGCATTGCCATATTGTGCATGAAACTCATTGAATAATGCATAAAATATATCACTAACCTCGTTGTATTCTTTTTTCGGATCAATTGGGTTGTCCTCATACATTGGCAATGGACCTCGTCGTGGCTCTTCGGAATTGCTTCCTCCACATCGTCGTCCTCGTCCTCGAGCTCTTCTTCGTCAATGGTCCTCGGTTGGTCTTGAAAAAAGCGGGAATTATGTCGGTGCAATTCTTGTTCTAGTTGTTCGTCGGTCATCACATCCCCATCCCTCCTTACGTAACCCGTATCAAAATCATCTCGACTTTGAGATGAAGAGCCGATATGTGATTTACCTTTGCGGGATCTCTTCCTCGCAAGCTCTTTCGTTCGGTTGCGCTCGAGGTTACCCATATCAACCGAATATCTAGGACGATCCATCTAAAAAATGTAGCGATTAATAAAAAATTGTAAAAAACTAATTAACTATTTATGTAACTATTAAATCGAGTTATAGCAAATTAAGTAGTGAATTAACTAGTTTTGTGTACAACATATTTTTTAAACTAGAGTCAAATGTAGCAATTAATAAAAAATTGTAAAAAACTAATTAACTATTTATCTAACTATTAATTCGAGTTATAGCAAATTAAGTAGTGAATTAACTAGTTTTGTGTACAACATATTTTTTAAACTAGAGTCAAATGTAGCAATTAATAAAAAATTGTAAAAAACTAATTAACTATTTATCTAACTATTAATTCGAGTTATAGCAAGTTAAGTAGTGAATTAACTAGTTTTGTGTACAACATATTTTTTAAACTAGAGTCAAATGTAGCAATTAATAAAAAATTGTAAAAAACTAATTAACTATTTATCTAACTATTAATTCGAGTTATAGCAAATTAAGTAGTGAATTAACTAGTTTTGTGTACAACATATTTTTTAAACTAGTCAAATGTAGCAATTAATAAAAAATTGTAAAAAACTAATTAACTATTTATCTAACTATTAATTCGAGTTATAGCAAATTAAGTAGTGAATTAACTAGTTTTGTGTACAACATATTTTTTAAACTAGAGTCAAATGTAGCAATTAATAAAAAATTGTAAAAAACTAATTAACTATTTATCTAACTATTAAACAAGAGTCAAATGTAGCAAATTAACTAGTAATTAAACAAGTGTAAATAATAGAATGGAGAATAATAAATATAATATATTGGAGAATGGAGAATAAGAGAATTAGAGAGTAGAGAGTTAAGAATAGGATTTAGGAAGAATTGGAGAAGAGATATGAAAAAATGTTTAAGATTAGGAGTATTTATAGGTTTTTTTACCCCCCACCCCCACCACCACCCCCCCACCAGCCAACCCCCCCGGACCCCCCCTTTACCCCACCCAACGGCTATATAGCCGTTTGGGTTGTCCCCACCCCCACCCCCAACGGCTAGTAGCCCAAGAGCCCAAACAATTTTTTTTATAAAATAAGACCGGACCCGGGCCCGACCCGGCCGGGCCGGGTCACATTAATCCAGCACCGAGCCCGCCCCGCCCATTCCCACCGGTTCGGGTCCATACCCGGTCCCAGACCGCCCGACCGGGCCGGTCCCGGGCCCGCACAGTACCGGGCCGGGCCGGGTCACGGGCCGGGTGGCCCGAACCGAATCCAACCCTAAACTTGCATAAATTAAACACATAATTTTATATTTGTGTCATATATAGTGTAATTCTAGGTATGAACTCGGTTCCGGTCCAGGTGTTTTTTATGGAAGCTTGGGCTCGACCTGAGTATAACGGGCCCCGATCTGGTTCTGGGTATCCTGTAATTGGTCACTACATTGCAGGCTTCACTAAACTCTCATTCCACGCCAATCGTTTAAACCAACATGGATAGACCTTGTTTCGTCAATGTTGATAAAATCTTAAATCGATCTCATTCTTTGTTAATATTTCAAGTTTACCTTAATAAGTTCAAGATACTAGAACGGAATGGTATAGAGAACCTTTCTCTATCTCAGTCAAAACTGGAGCATTGGGACTTAAGCATGGAAGTAGCGCTAAACTTATGAGGAAACGAACTCAGAGAAAGTGGTGGATGATGTGATCTCAAACAAGGTGAACATACCAGAGTATCGATCACTTGTAGGGGATTGTAGATCCCTTCTAGATACTCAACAATTTCCATGTTGTACTAACTAGGCAACAAGCTAATCGTAGTGCTTATATGTTGCCTAAGGCATCTATCGGTTCTGCTTCTTGCACTGGCTGATGGTCGACAGTTCCCGTGATCCAGTAGTAAAGTGACATCATAAATGTTCTCGTCATTGCAGCAGTTGTAAAAGCACTCCACCGTGAAGTGCTTTGGGATCACCAACGACGGTGGTGGGAGCACGGTTGGTTGTTTCAACACAAACTAGCTGGGATTACTTGGATATGGGAAAGATCGCGAATTGCTCCGGCCACCGAGCTAATTCTTCTACCGAGCCTGAACCTGCAGGAGCACCGATAAGTGGTGCAGACCAATAGGTGGTGCAGACCGATAGGTGGTGCTGAGCAGCAAAAGCATGTGGTTCAGTTGCAGAGAAGTCCGGCTAAGCTGTCGAGATGTGAACAGGGTCGGCACTGAGGTGGCAACAGGCCGTTCTAAGCCCAAAAATAGGCCCAAAAGTTTTAAATATATACAATGTGAGTAGGCTTTTCCTTTTTTTAAGCTCAATTAATTAGGCTTAATTTTGAATTTGTTGGCATTTTGAACAGAATAGAACATAAGTATCCCGTAAAAAAGAAAGAATAGAATACAAGTGACAGATAGCATATCCGGGGATACGCTTGAACAGTACACCAACGTCCAGAGATCCTTCTTCTTTGGTGACTTGGAAAGTTTCGCTTAAGACTTGTCCTGCGCTCGTTCTCCTCGGCATGAGCGTGTACGATTATGGGCAGAGGTTTGGTGCACACGTTTAGTTTCTTCGCATGCGTCATGGTATGCAGGCCTTCAATAGTAAACCCATATATATAGGGCTTATGGCGATGATTCTAGACTGCGTATCATACGTTTAATGGTTCCGTCCGTTGGAATTCTCTCATTTAATCTCATTGCCATTTATATTTTGTACGGATGACTTGTGTAGAACGTTCGAAGCTGTTAATTTGCCTTGCTTCGTATATGCGGTATATATTGCTCTGGTGTAATGGGCCGGTTTGAAATACTACTTATTATTGCCATCTATATATACTTCTCATTGTATACATACCATGCGCCACTTCTTTCGTACGTAGGTACGAGTAGTAGTACTGTATATTTATGATTGTTAATAGGTAGATTATATTTTATTGTAGTATTCATTTTATTTTTATTTTCATATTATATATGCTCTTTAGTTCTCATTTCATTTATGAACTATAATTTATATCTAGTTTATTTTTATTCTAATTATGTGTATTGTAATTTTTTTTAGGGTGTCACATTCTACCCTCCTTATAATGTGCTTCGTCCCCGAAGCACTTAACTTATTCAAGAGCAGCATTCTATGTGTTTGGTCTCTCCTTTGGCACGCTTCCGTTTCTTCTCAAGTGTTTCCTTTGATAGTGGTATGCGGCTTTGGTGTAGGCCTCATTCAGAGTTTAGCAATCTAAAATGTAAAGAACTTTTTCGAAGTTAAGACAACTTATAAACTTTCTAGCGTCACTAATTTTATTAGGAACTAAACGCAGATGCATATTGTGCAAGCCAAGTATTTGGCGTGGTAATCTTCGACGGTCATACTCGCTTGTTCTAGGTGTAAGAATTCCTTGTACTTCGTAGCTTTCATGCGTTCCGAGTAGATTCTTTTTCGCAGGCATGGCTCCGTAAACATCTCCCAAGAAAAGTCAAATTGTTGATGCAATGCTGGTTCGGTCGTGGGCCACCATTTATTTGCCTCTTGACATAGGTAGTACGCAGTCGTGTTAATATGTTGATCCACGGGGGTTCATAGTCTTGAAGAGTTTGTCGAAAGTGTGAATACAACCCTCAAGAAATAGAGAATCTTCTTTGCTTAAATTAAGTTGGAGGATTACGCTCAACTACACGTTTCGCGATATCATTGCGCTTATTGAGACGATGTTGACGTTGATTTTGAGGTAACACATTTGTGACGGTCTGGATGAGTTGAGTAAGTTGTCCC